ACTTTGGTATGTTTGCTCTGAGATAGAAATAATTAACCAGTATTTCTAATTCAACTAAAATTTAGTAAGCAACTACTATGTGTTAAGCACTATGTCAGGCATTAGAGACACAAAGATTTAATTAAAGTCCCTGCCCAAGTCCTGCATTCCCCTTATAATCTGCTAAAAACTGACTGAATCACCAAATCATGGCATTTGAGAATTGAAAGGAACTTCAATGGTCAAGTCCAAACCATACGTGAAAGGAATCATCTAGTTTAGCATACTTAAGAAGTCATTCAACCTGTACTTGAAGATCTCCAAGGAGAGGAAACTATTACCTCTTAGGGTAGACAATTCTGTTTGTTTTTTTTTTTTTTTGACAGCTTCGTTAGTCAGTTTTTTCTTGATATCAGGCTTAAATTTGGTTCTGTTTCACGAATAAATCTTCTCCCTCCTTTACATAACAGCCCTTTAAATACTTGAATGCTTCTATCATGTCCCCCTTAAGTCTTCTCTTTTCCAAGTCTCAGTTCCTTCAACTGATTGTCATATGTCATGAACTACCACTCCACTTGCCCTCCTCTCAATATTCTTCAGCTTATTAATGTCCTTTTTAAACCAAGGTACCCAGAACTGAACACAACACTCCAGATGAAGCCTGACAGATTAGAGTGAGACTATCCCTTCTGTATTCCTAGAAGTTGATGCAAGCTGGTCAGACCAGGCCCCTTCTTATGAAGATGGGGAAGGGGACCATATGGGCAGAAATAGCTAGAAATGCTAATAACTCTGTGTGTAGACCCTGATACAAAAGAAATTCTACTAACCCTTGTGTTTATCCTTTTCTGTCTTAGTTATGGTTGGTGTACTTCCCACTTGGAAGTATGCTCAACTTAGGTATATTTTTGAAAGGCTCTGCATCCCTTTGCCTCAGTATAAAACCCCATGAACCTTTACAACTTAGGATAAGACCAAGTCTGTGAATATGGCCCATGTAGAAACAATTGCTTGAGATATGGTTACATGTGTAACTTCATTTCCCATGGCTCCAAAAAAATCGTAACTCAAGGGTGTTGAGAAATGTATATCTCCTTATATTCTTTTGTTTGAGTGACATGAAGGGTTTGTATGCACTTAGTAAGCTCAGTTTAGAAATTTGGAATACATGAAATTGACCTCAGTCTCAGATATTCAGTGATTTACTATGACCTCAGACCTAGGCAACATACAACACTGAAATAAGAAAACATTTAATCAAGATAGACATAAATAATAAAACAATCTAAACTTCAACCCATATTTCTAAATGGGTAAAATATATTTCCACTTCTTTCTCCGCAAAGCATATTGGAAATGAGGTCCTTCTAGACGACCAGCTCCAGCAAGGGAAGGCGTAAACTTAGTCTCTCTCTCTCTCATTAGCCAAAATGAGAGAATCAGTTCCCCTTCAAATTGCATAAAAACTGCTCCTGTCAGTAGCTGCAGTCTACTATCAATCTCTGGTCTCCAGCATGGCTGTTGTGGTTTCTAGCTCAGCTATTCTTAGGCATTACTTGTTGATCTTTCAGCTGCCCCTTGTCTTTGGCACACTGCTTTTTTGGCTCTTCCTTTTTCATGGTCACAAACTCAGCAGAGATTTCCATTACTCTTCCATTCTCTAAGGTGACAAGGTGTCTTTCCCTGGAATTCCTACCTCCTTCCTTGGACCTCCAGACTACTTTTTCACTTCTCCCCTCTCTGCCTCCCCCATTGGCTCACTTACACCCTTCCATGTGTAGTGAGCTCTATCCCTTCAGGGAAAAGATGTACCAAATAAAGGATGTTACAGACAGAGCAGCCCTATGCTTGGAGATGCTACCGTTTACATATATATGTTTGGTGTGTTATTAGTATTTCTTTTGGATAGCAATTTCTACATTTTTTTCCCACATAAGCCTAGTTGGGTCAATCTACACAGCTCCACTTGATACTATGCAGGAGCTCAACCTTTCCTGGTTTATCCTTCTTCCTCTTCTCCTAAAAAATCTTCACCCATTTATACTCTTCTATTCTTCTGCTGCTTTAAATCTTTGGTCTTCCAGAGCATGGTTGTGCAATAAAAAAATTACAAAATCAAAGCTGATGATAGGTGTCAGAAAGTTTAAGGACTTCATGAAAGGCATTTAGAAACCATAGAGGTACATTTTGCTGGATCCATTATTAGAGAGCTGCCATTCACTTCCTTGGAGAGAAAAAAAGAGGAGGGGGGCAAGAAGTGCATATCTCTGTGCCCTTTCCTTTAGCCCAAGTCATAGAACAAACATTTAGAAGGTGTAACTCTGAATAAGAGGATGGAGCTGAAGGAAAATGATAGCCCCTACACTAATCACAAATGGAGATAGAGTAAAGTTGTCCCACTCACTCTAGGCTCTTTATACTTCATTCACTCATTCATTAGTCTCTGAATGTAAATGAGTTGATGATACAAGTTTTTATATCTGGGGAAAAAAAACTGGACCATTATAGTTAAAACAAAAACAAAAACTAGGTAGGAATGAAATATTAAATCTCTCTTTATTCTGATATTAGTTTCAGGAGGTTAAGTATGTGAAATTACTTTTATTTTAATTGTTCTAAAGGTAAATGAGTTCAGAGATTGAAAAACTAATGTATTTCTAGAACACATAATTGTCTTTTATTGATAGAGAAGTGACCAAATATTAAATATTACTCAAAAGTATCCATTCAAAGTAATATAAGAATTTTATTTTAAAAATGTACTGTCAGAAACTAATTTTTTAATGTTAAAATATATCAGAATAAAAGAAGTTAAGCTAAATTCTTGTAATATTATTATTAGTAAACTTTAAGAACATCCCAGAATCCACTAGAAATGGCCTATAGGACCTTTCTCGGTATTAGGGTAGTTGGAGGGAAAAAAAAATACATGTATGTGTGTATATGTGTATGTATGTATGTATATATATGTGTGTGTGTATAAGTATGTATAATGTGTATGTATGTACTATGCATACATATATACATGTGTATATGTATGTATAGTATATACATATGTACATATGTACACATGTGTATACATATGCATAGTACATATATACACACTATATATCCCTATACACACATATATAAATACATACATACACACATACATACTTTATATACATACATATAGATATGTATGTATATATGTACTATGCATACTATATATATACATATATATAAACAGAGGGCACAGGGTGAGTTGAAGATGAAGGGATGATATCTAAAAAATAAAATTAAGGGGTGAGAGAGGAGTATACTAGGAGGAGAAAGGGAAAAGTAGAATGGGGCAAATTATCTCATATAAAATAGACAAGAAAAAGTTTTTACAATGGAGGGAAAGTGGGGAAAGGTGAAAGAGAATGAGTGAATCTTACTCTAATCAGATTTGGCTTAAGGAGGGAATAACGTACACATTCAGTTGGGTATGGAAATCTATCTTAACCTTAAGGAAAATAGAGGGGAAGGGGATAAGGGGGGAGGTGATAGAAGAAAGGGCAGATTGAGGGAGGGAGTAATCAGAAGCAAACACTTTTGATGAGGTACAGGGTCAAAGGACAGAATAGAATAAACAGGGGGTGGGATAGGATGAAGGGAAATGTAGTTAGTTTCTCACAACATGATTATTAGGGAAGTGTTTTACATGAATACACACGTATAACCTGTATTGAGTTGCTTGTCTTCTCAGTGAGGGTGGGTGGGGAGGGAGGAAGGGAGAGAATTTGGAACCTAAAGTTTTAAAAACCAATGTTGAAAATTGTTTTTACATGCAACTGGAAAATAAGATATACAGGCAATGGAGTATAGAAATCTATCCTGCCCTACAGGAAAATAGAAAAGGAAGGGAATAAGAGAAGAGGGGAGGTGAGTGGAGGGAGAGCAGATTAGGGGAAGGGGTATTCAGAATGCTCCCTGTCTTGGAGTAGGGGAGGGAAGAGAAGAGATGGAGAGAAAATTTGGAACTTAAAGTCTTGTGGAAGTGAATGTTGAAAACTAAAAATAAATAACTTAATTAAAAAAAAGAAATGACCTCAACTCTGTGGAAAACATATAAAATGTAATCCTTTGTATCACGTGTCAATTATATATTCAAAATTTTAAGCTTTTCAACAAATTAAAGGAATCTTCTCTGACTTTAAAACCTGATTGTTTTACTTAGCATGTTCTCAATCAAAAAAAAAATAACTATGTCAACAGGCACTATTTAATTCTATATATAAGAATAATGTGTTTTAATAGCATCAAAATATTTTATGTAATTCTTTTCAGCCTGTGGAATATTGAAAAGATAATACTATATTTTAGTTAATAGATAAATGATTATTTTACATTATTTTGTTGGATGCTGTTGATTCTTGTATATTTTCAATGAAGACATGAACAAATAGAGTTGTTCTACAAGATCTCTATGTCCCATATATGTTATGCCATATTTCATATCATTATACCACATTTCTGCCTAGGATCTCAGAGAATTTTATAGCTAGTATCTCAGTAATCCTCCAAAACTCCTATAAAGTAAATCAGTAGCAGATGTTATCCTCCTCATTTTCCAGAGAGGTTCAATGACAAGTCCAAATGCCCATCTGCATGGAAATAATGCAGCTGAATATCTGAAATACTGGTGAGGACTCAATCCATGACACAAATGGTAGGTAGGAGATGTCTCTAGAGACACTGGCAATTTCCTGAAGAAAAGTCTAGTGAAGCATTCTACCTTCCTACTGCCTTGACATATCTCTGAACCTGTAACAGTGGAGCTAGTATAGTGGAGAAATAAAAGGTATTTGGAAGCTTCTACTATGTCCTTTTGTTACTTAGTATATATTGGGAATTCCTAGATATTCTTATAGACTATCATCTTCAACTATAATTAAAGTATTTACTGTGAACCATACAACAGTGGAGGAAAATTATTACTGTATAGTCATATGATTCATAAAATTTATATAACTTTTCCCCCTTCTCTTCTCTTCCAGGTGAATTTGGAGAGGTATGCAGTGGACGCTTAAAGCTTCCTTCCAAAAAAGAGATTTCAGTAGCCATCAAAACCTTGAAAGTAGGCTATACTGAAAAGCAGAGGAGAGACTTCTTGGGAGAAGCAAGCATCATGGGACAGTTTGACCACCCTAATATCATTCGGCTTGAAGGAGTTGTTACCAAAAGTAAGGCCTTAGTGAATTTCTTTGTGGGAGACATGTTAAATTTATTTAATCTCACTTATTTAACAATATTCCGTTTTAGTCATCTATCCACAAATATGAAATATTTTACCAAGTAGGATTTTGTTCTAACAAAAACTACCAATTTTAGGCTTAACAGATTTCTATCATGAAGACACTATGTTAAAAAGGGGGGGGCATAATCCAGAACAAATAAACAAATTAAATGCTATAGATAAAAAGGGAGGTAGGGAATTGTAGGAAATGAGAGAATCAGAGGAAAGTAGCAATGAAAGGCAGCATAAGTGAAAGCTAAGATTACTGCCTCTAATCTATTTGGCTTGGCTCCCAGTTAGTTACTTTTCCTGAATTGGCCACGTCTTTATTTAGGATTCTGAGTACTTAAATTCACATATTTTGGACTTGGGACACCTTTAAAGGTTTTAGAATTACTTCACAGCTTTTGAAGGTCAAGATCAGAGTAGATCCAGAACTGTTCTGATGCATAGCTTCCATGAGATTCTAACTGCTCTGGAAATCTAAAGCCCAAGATGGGAGCTAGTCTGGGAGAGAATTTTAAAGGTCCAAAAAAGTGTTTTAAAATCATTTTCAGAAGTACTGACCCTACTTTCCATACTTTCCAAACTCTCCTTCCTGCTCACTTGACTCAGAGAGGTGCCTTTCACATGGCTGTAAGGATACCTACGCTGGCTCCAGTTGCAATCAAAATCTACAGGGTATATATCCTAGTTGCCTAAAACTTCAAGGGTAGTCCTCGGTTTAAAGCATCTAGGCAAGTTGTTGTTGTTCAGTCATTTCAGTCATGTCCTACTCTTTGTGACCCCATTTGGAGTTTTCTTGGCAAAAATACTGGAGTGGTTTTGCCATTTCTTTCTCCAGCTCATTTTACAGATGAGGCATTGAGGCAAATAGAAATAAGTGACTTGCCTAGGGTCACACAGCTAGTAAGTGTCTGAGGCCTGAACTCAGTGAAGGCGAGTCTTTCTGACTCCAGGCACTCTACCCACTAAGCCACCTAGTTGCACTCTAGGCAAGCTGCATTATTAGAAAATTTCTTCATTGTTCATGCAAATGTTTATATTTGTGTGTATATTTGCATTACTTGTCATATAATGCAATTGGCCTAGTGCTAATTTTCATTTTTATTTCCCTATAGAGGCAATTCTTCTCTCATAAAAGTGTCAAATATAAATGGACTTTGTTTTCTTATCAGAAATTCTTTAGGGAATTGCAGTCCATCTATTTTCCTTGGGTAGGGTGGGAAATATAGTGTGGGTAGGTTTAGTTTATGTTCAGGAATTCAACTGGATATTCAAAGCCTGACTTGAAGCACTGTTATTCATGTTGTTTAACACTTTACCCAGAGTATAAGGAGACTAGATCACAACACTGTGAGGCTGCTTTCTTGAGGGGAAAAAAAAATACTCTGATCAAATCATGCCATAAGAATTGTAGTTTTAAGCACAATGTTAAAGGTTTAGATTTGAATTTCTGTGTGTTCCAAAGAAGCAGTTACATACCTTGCTGAATGAGCTAAGAAGTGTATGGTCAAATTTTGCCCCCTTTACCACCTGTGGCATCAGAATGTTTTTTCAGGATTTTCTTGCCATGGGTGACTCACCTCCTGCTAGAGTTAGGTAATATTTATAAATGTTTCTGTAGGTATAGAATCAATTTCATTGGCAGATTCATTTACTGTATTAAATTTGATTAGATAATAGATTTATTTCTCTCCAGAATAATTCATTATTGAAAGCATGCCATCATGTGTGGATTTCCATTTCCTCTAACTAAAGGTAACTAGAATGGTGTAAGCAAGACTTAAAGCAGCAACCTTTGTTCTTCTTCTGAAGTGGCCTTTCTAGGAAAGATAAAATGATCATACCTAAATGCTCATAGTAAGTCAGCGAAATTCTTAAAACCAACCTCAAATGTAGGAAGGTGAAAAAAAGAAAGAAAAGAGTGATATAAATTGTAAGTAACATGAAAAAAAACACCATATTCATGCTTGATCTTGTAACATATTCATATAGATTACAAATGGCTTATTCTCAGAGTAAGAACTCTACATTTGATATATCTCCCTGGCCAAAGAAGTATATAAGGTCTGCCAAATCTGTCTGTATAAATCCCAGCAATCTTGTATGTTGCAAACATAATAGGGTTCCAGACCCAGGATTAGATTGTGAACTTTCTTAGAGGAGGATTTAAGAGCTATTAGTCTGGCACATTATAACATCTGGAAGTAAAAAGAAATGACTTAGAATGAAGCTAGCATGGTACACTTAATGGTGAAGAAATGTAATGTTTTATAACTAAAACACGTTCTTTTACACAACCCTAACTTTTTCTTTCTTTACAAAAACCATGGTGTTACTTATAGAAAGCTGGAAAAATCACAACCTGATTGAGAGCTATATAGTAAACAAACAAAAAAAATAGCAAAACTGGTGAATGGGATGAATAAACAAGTACTAATAATTCACATTCATATTTTACTTTAATGTTTATCAAAATTTTTTTTCTTGATAGCCTTCAGAGGGTAGTATTCAGGTAATACAAGTGTCATCATGCTCATTTTACAGATGAGAACACTATTAAGAACATAATTAAGTAAACTACCCAAGGTCAATGAAGAAACCAGGATTTCTAACTTAGGCCTTCTGACGCAGAGTCCAGTGCTCCTTTTACTACACTGCAAAGAGATAATGCCAGAATTGGGAAATTAAGAGGTTTTTTGAAATTGATTAATTTTGAGTACACAATCTCCAGTTCATGAGTGAGGGATTTCTCTGTCTCTGTCCTTGTCTCTCTCTCTCTCTGTTTCTGTCTCTGTCTCTCATTTTCACTCTCTCACTACCTCTGCCTCTGACTGTTTCTCTGTCACATTGTCTTTGTCTCTCTCACTATTTTGTTTCCCACTTTCTCGGACTATCCAGCATGTTCTTTAAGCATGGGCAGTTCTGCTTATCATTGCTCTTAATTGCATACTTGAAAAAAATATAATTTGAGACACTAAGTCTAATCCGGTCTCTTTTGCAAGTCAGTGTAAGCATGTTCTCTATTCAGTCATTATATTCTTGGCTTATTTCCAGCTGGGCTATTAACAATTTTAATAGTGGTGTTTCTGTCCCAAAGGTCTTCAATATAAATGTTCATGTTACCTTTTAACAAGGGAAGGCAGAAACAGCGTTTCTTCAGAAAAGCTGAAAAGTAGGAAATGCATTATCTTCTCTAAATCAAGCACCACAAAAAACCCAAAACAAAACAATATATACAATAATCCCTTATATAGCTGTTTATGTGTATGTGTGTGTATGTGTATGTATGTAAATGCGTATATTCATGTATATGTGTGTATATATGCATGTATATATATACATATATATATTCCTTTAAACTTATTCCTTTAAACTTGCAACAATTTTGTTTCTTTGTTTGAATTAAGCACCTTCCCAATTGTAGTATCTATTCATTTTTTCATCAAGTAAATTAAAGACATAACTTTGAAAGGGGTTACTGGGGATTTTAATCCTCAGGATTTTATTAGGGAAATAAAAGGGGGGGAGTTGCTTGGCCTAACTTTACATTCCCAAGGTCCTTCAAGGTGCCTTTCTCTCATGACATTGGATTTTAGAAGGCTTGTATAACATATTTTGCCCAAACTATTTAAGTGTATACTTTACATCAGAGGCCTGGGCATTGGGTTGGTTGAACGTACCTTATACTATAGATGTAATGGGGTACATTACTTGAATAAGATATCATTCTTTTGTTCCAGTGCTGCATTAGTCCCTTGTTTCATATTTCTTCCTTTCTAAACTTGTCTTCTACATGGGTCTCAAGGGTGCTTTCTAGGCAGTACTCTTAATAGCCAACACACATGTGCTGCTTAGTTCACTAATAATTTACAGAAATGTGTAGCCTGTTAGTATAATAAATTTTAGAAACACTGTTGACATAAGTTGTTATCATGTATTAATGGTTGCATTTTTGATGAATGAGTGTAGAACATTCCTTTAAAGTTATATGGAACATGTGTTTCTTACTGTGTACATTTTAACTTAATGAATAAAATGAATTCTGCATATCAGAGGACAAATAAGACAGAGGTGCCTAACAGTATTAAGATTTTCCACCCTTTTTTTTTCTCTAGTATTCTCATACATTACTCTGCTTTTTACAACTTTTAAAGTTCAATTTTTTTTTTCTTTTGGGGAGAGAGATGTATGATTTCTGATGTTAAAGGGGATAGTCAGTAGTTGGTTCCCATTTGGAATTTTTAAATGGTATTTAGGAATTTATAAAGTATTTTGAAATGATTCAGTGAAAATAATTTTTATATGTGCAAAATAGCAATATTTAGTAAGCAATAAGTGGCAGGCTCCAACAATGGAAAATCTTTCATTCTTTCTGACTTCAACAGTTATCATTTTGTTTCAAATTTCCTTATTTGGAGGGAAAAGATGATAGAAAAGATTCAGGATAGATATCTCATGCTACATATGAAATCCCCTTGACTCTTTTTTTGACCTCTTCATTCTTTCAGGCCTATATTTAGAATAGAAAGGTTTCCATGGTCTTTGCCATTGAATTCATTATAGTAGATTAATTTAGTGTTCTTATCCTTAATAAAGGAAGCTTAATCATTTATCTCTAGTCATCAATGTGAATAAAAATTAGGGATTTATGTTTCAAATTTATCACTATTTCTGTTGATTGGGATCCATTCCAATCAAAGCCAACCAACAGCATTGATTGAATGTCCACTATATACAGAATTTTAATGGACAGTAGCAGCACTATCAAGAGAAGACATCCCCCCTGCCCTCAATAGGCTTACATGGTACTGAAAAAAAATGCAAAGATAAATGCAAACATTGGAATGAAGAATCAAATATAAATATGTTGAGTAATAAGAAGCTAGGTGTACCTGAACATTAGGGTGACAGGTGAGGATAGTCCAAAAAACTCCATGCACTAAACTTTCGGGATGGTAAGAAAGGATACAGTTGTATGAAAAGAGATGATTTCAAATGAATGATTTTTTTCAAGCAATTCCCATAATTTTTTGAGAAATCTCTTCTTCCCTAAAATGTAATTAATTTCCTTAAGAAGTTCATGAGAACCTTTAAAGTACTGAAACTAAAGATAGATTCCCTATAATTTCTTTTCCTTCCATTTCTGTCAGAATCTGACAGATTCTGCTGACTCTTAGAAAATGGTAAAAAATATGTTTTGGATACAGAAGTTGGACTACATTGATGTGGAGATGTTAATGAGAAATGAAACAATGAAAAGTCTCAGAGCCAGGAGGAAGTATGTGTGTGTGTGGGTGTGTGCACGTGCGAGCATGTGTGTGTGTGTATACATATATATATGTATATACACATACACACATATACATACACACATATATTTATGTATGTATATGTGTATATGTATACATATATATGCAAAGGGTTTAGATATTACACAAACTCAGTAATGACCTATGTATACTTGAGTCTTGATTATATAAGGCAAATATCTGACTATTTTCTATAGAGGTTTGGATTCATAAAGCATGTCAATAGCCCAGCTATTTTATTAGCAAAGGAAGAATGCAGAAAATTGGTAGTTGAGCAAGAACACACACATACATACATATATGCATATTTATATTCATATACATAATTATATCTATGCAGTCTCCAACTATCACAGTTTTCTGGATTATTAGATTCTTCCCTAATAAAATATTATAACCAATATATTAAATAAAATTATGTAAAAACACATATACAAACATACATAAACATATGTATATGCATTTATATGTATACTATATGTGTATATATTATAGATGCTTATGTACATATCAACTATTAGCTTCCTCAGAGATTAATCTACAAGGATTAATAAGCAATTTAAGAGATCAAAGGCCGAGAAGAAGATAAATTTTGCCTTTCTTCCTGAATATGATTAGGTCAATTGCAGTTATAGGAGTCAGGAATTCCATAGCTTCAGAGCATTAAAAGGCCTTCTAGACTTTACCTGTTAAAATAAGACAATTAGGTTCCATGACTGCACATCAGTTAAGAGTAATTCTGTTTCCTTATTGTCATTTATATGGATACATTCGTTGATTGCTGAATTCATTGTCAGAGGGAAACTTTTTATGGAATGGGAAGAAAGATATTGTTTTCTCTCTCTTGGGAGAGATTCAGTTTGCTAAGTGAATTAAATATAACCCTTGAGGTTCCAAGTCTATAATTCATGCCATTCATTACCATTGTCACTTAATGAAGATTAAAAATATAGAAAGCAGAGATGAGGCAGCAGAACAACAATTTCAAGATTCATGAAGAAAAAGAAACATTGGGAAAAGTATACCGTATAGATGGTTTCCAATTTTCAATTTAGTGAGGTAACAAAAGAACAAATCCATTTTAATTTTTTCCATATTACAGAATAGCTTTAATTTTTGAAATTTTGGGGAAGCCACCATAGATTACGAAATGATTGTTCAACCCCTTTTGTTCCTCCTTCCTATTTTGCTCATCTTCTGTGGACACATCATCTCTGAAAGTGAACAGAAGGATCTGCAGTCAAATTTTTAAAAAACAGAAGCTTAGATTGGAAAGAGTCTTTAGAGATCATATAATCTAATTCTTTCATTTTATAGATTAAAATCAGAAAGACTAAAGAGGTTGTGTCGCACAGATATTAGTGGCAAGACTAGAGTTCATGTCTCTTGACTGTCAGATGAAATCAGTTATATTTCTAAAGAAAAGAAATTCTATGGTTCTAGGGCTCTTGCTAAAAGACCTTCTAGATCTTACCCATTGCAATAGGGCAGTCAGGTTCTAGATTGCACAACAAATATGAATAATTCCATTTGGTAGAATTCTGATGCACACAGTAGTACCAATCAGTATGGTGCAGGGCCAATAGCTCAAACAAAAGAGCTAATGCTGCCTCTGCTCTCTGGAATGTTCTTCTCTGCTTTTTAGATTATTTCCTTCTCAAATAGGGTATCAATTTACTTTGGGGAAAAATGGAGAGAGTAGTAGAAAAATTATTTTCTTCTTTAGTCCCCTCAGTTCATATTCTGTTTGTATCTCCAGTCTCAAACTTACTGTTTATGTGATCCTTGGCAAATCAATTAAGCTCTGCCTGCCTCAGTATCCTTAATGGTTAAATGGGGATAGTAATATTACTTACCTCCCAGGGTTATTATGAGGATCAAATGAGATGATATCTGTAAAGCACTTCTTAGCACAGTGCCTAGCACATAGTAGATGCTATGTAAATGTTTTTGTTATTATTATTATTGACCTGATAATCTAAGTCCCCTATCTTCTTTCAATACTTTAATTTTACTGTCTGACAACAATGCTATAGGTAGAATTTTTTCTGGAAAGTTCTTTTGAATGTTGGATGACATCTGTAGTAATTGTACTGTGTTATTGTGTGTATACATATATATATATACATATGTATGTGTGTATGCACACATGAACATAAATGTAATCAGTTAAAACCTTTAATTATATACTTCTGAATTTCATTGAATCTGTGATTTCATTACTGTAGTTATTCCAGTCCTTCATAGAAGATCTACCCAATATGCTAAAAGCCTTTCTTTAAAAATTTTCCTTCTTGATGAAAGTTGTGATATCTAAAAAATAAAATTAAGGGGTGAGAAAAGGAGAAAGACAGAGGTAGAATGTGAGATAATTTAATCTCACATAAAACAGATAAGAAAAAGCTTTTACAGTGGAGGGGAAGTGGGGGAAGGTGAGAGGGAATGAGTGAATCTTATTCTAAGCAGATTTGGCTTAAGGAGGGAATAACATCCACACTCATTTGGGTATGGAAATCTATCTTACCCTACAGGAAAAAGGGGGAAATGGGATAAAAGACCGGGGGATGATAGAAGGGAGGGAAAATTAGGGGAAGGAGTTTTCAGAATGCACGTTGTCTTGAGATGTGGGGAGGGGCGAGAAGGGGAGAAAATTTAGAACTCAAAATCTTTTGGAAGTGAAGGTTGAAAACTAAAAATAAATAAATTAATAAATATTTAACATATATTTTTAAAATGTCCTTCCTGTTTCTTTTAAAATTTAATAGCTATAATGCAATAGTAGACCGTTCATTTGTTATTTGTCACTCTCATACAAGACCAACTCACCTCTTTTTCCAGTTACTTTTTCTTGTCTAGTATGCAACATACATTGGTAACATATAACCTGCTTATACCCAGCATGTGGCTTTTCATTGCCTTTTGGGATACCTGAAAAAAAATTCACACAAACACAGACACACACATATCAGGGCAGCTAGATGGTACAGTAGATAGAGTGCCAGACCTGGAGTCAGGAAGGCTGATCTTCCTGAGTTCAAATCTAGCCTCAGATGCTTACTAGTTGTGTGACACTATGCAAATCACTTAACCCTGTTTGCTTTAGTTTCCTCATCTGTAAAATAATCTGGAAAAGAAAATGGCAAACCACTCCAGTATCTTTACCAAGAAAAAAACAAAAACAAATGGTGTCACAAGAAGTGACATGATTGAAAAAAACAAATGTATACACACACACATGCATACACACATGCACCTAGTGACTAAACCACTATGAAATTATATGTATATATATATATATATATATATTTCTCACTATTTTATATCTATGTCTATAATAGTAATTTAGTCAGAATGCACTGTAGCATAGTGGAGAGTGCTGCATTTAAAGGCAAAAGTCCCCCGTTTGAATCATGGCTCTGATACTTACTATCTCTGGGTCTCAGTTCAGTTAGCTGCAAAATAAGAGTTGGAGTAGTCAGCTTCTGAAGTCCTGTCTACCTCTTAATCTATAATTATATGAGATCAAGTAAATGAAAGTCAAACTTTACAGAGTACTTTAAAATATTTTCATAAGTTTAAGCTAATCTTTTTAGTTCAGGGACTGATAATCATCTTGGGGCTTGTTCTAACAGTCCCTGTTCTTCTCATGTTCCTTCTCAAGCCTTTTTTCTGATCATTTCAGGGCTCATTAACACCTCTCTATAGGGGAGAGGAAAAGAGATGAAACTGAAATCAGTTTCCCACTTCATTCTTTATTTTTTTTAATTCTTTTGAAACTTGTTAGCAGATTTAATAATAAATCTAATTTAGGAGTTACAAAGTAAGGTTGAGACCTTGGATTATTGTATATTTCAGTAGTTTGCATTATCATTGATGATGTTAACATGTCCAGTCAGATACTGATTTACACTAAAAGGTATTGGGAAAGAGCGCTGGATTTGAAGTCAGAGGACTAGAATTCTCTGGGCCTCAGTTCTTCATTTGTAAAATGGAGGTGGGGGGAAGGGGAGGTATTGATTAGATAACTTCAAAGTGTTCTTCCAGTTCTACATACAGATCCTGTGAACCTATGAATTGAGTTTCAGATATATTTTTCAAAAATAAGTAGTTATGTCCTCTGACATTTGAGAAAGATATTTAATCATTTTTTACATATGTTTCAGGTAAACCAGTCATGATTGTCACAGAATATATGGAGAATGGATCCTTGGACAGCTTCTTACGAGTAAGTGCAAGAATTACTAATGAATGACGAGTTCCATTAATGTTTTTCTTTAAGATATTCCTTTTAGTGATTTTTCTTATTTTTAAATTTTGTTGATAAAAATCTTATTCTTTTTTCTACAATGTCTCTATAGTTTGTATTCTAATATACTCATTTACATTTTGACATCTTTATTTATTATCACATTAAAACAATCTTTAATAGCACTTAAACATTATTAACTGCATTCTATCTGCAGAAAATTTGATCTGATGGACTAGAAATTACTATTGTAAATTGGAGTCATCTGGGCAAAATTAACAATTTAATATTGTGACATGTCCATCAAGTAACAGTAAATACAGTATTTGTCTGAATTTTTTTACCTTGCCCAATACAAATGGAATTAATTGTTGGTACTCTTACAGACAACCTCTTATATTGTTGCAAGTTCTAGATTTTCGGTATTTAAAGGTAAATATTTATTGATAGAAGCTGAAATATCCTGAGACAAAATGGTAAAGAGAAGACTATAAAATGATGTCCTCTTCTCCCAGCACCCAAATATTAATGTTTTCAGATTTATTTTCCTCAAAATCAAACCTGAACAACATCTTCCTCATATGTTGTATGCTGCCTCAAGATACATGTGAGGTAAAACAATAAATAAGAAGCATTGTAGAGAAATTTTGTAAATAACATCCACCTAGAATAGGAATGCTCCTTTAGTTTTCATCTTTATAGCAGTCTCTGCTGCTTATTAGAAGCTCATCCATCTCTTAAATGGTTCTGTCTCTTTAACAAATAAGCATGAACCCTGTATCATACCACTGGAAGGAGACATATTCTGTCTTTATAAGAATATCACTGCACTTCAGCACAACTGTTAGATTATCCAATAAGTGAAGTTTGGTTTCAGAAATCAATCTAGCTACCTAAGTATACAAGGCCTGCAGATCCATTCATTTAATGGATATTTCTTGAATGGACACTACCTTGAAAGTACTGCACTAGAGTTGCTGCTCTAAAAGTATTTAAAATACACTATATATATATATACATATATATATACATATTATATGTAATACTAGTCATGTAAAATAATCTCATAGAGGAATGTTTATACACACACACATATATATGTAGCTGCATTTAACTACTAATCAACAAATGCTAAGAGATAACCAATTTCACACTTTTCCTATGATACGGTGTTTCTGTATATACTTTCACATGCTATTTCTACTCTCAGATATATATCAAATACCATAAACTAACAAGAAGGAAAGAAAACATAGTTACATGGTAATTGCATTTAAAAAAATCTATATTCTTATTCCTATGATAAAGTCTATCATGACATATACATATGTATGTATATATTTTATAAATTAGCATGTATATATTTGTGTGTCTGAAGAACTATGTTCTTCAGTCTTAATCAACAGCAACATGGTAGGATGACATTGGATTTAGAGGACCTGGATTCATACCTTACCTCTGGTATCTTGCAATCTATGCAACCTCAGGTAATTAGTTTTTCCTCTTAGATTTACAGTTTCTTCCTCTGTAATTCCAGAGGGTCAGACTACATGCTCACTGTAGTTCCTTCCAGCTCTAAATATATGAACCTAGGGTATAATCTTATCCCATCATTTTACAGATAAGAAAACTGAGGTCAGTGTAGGTAAAATTACTTGCCTGAGTTTTCTCAGGAATCAAGGCAAGTCTTCTGACCCTAAAACTGATGCTGTTTTTATTACAGCACAGTTTCTTCAGCTTGGGCACAAAGGTATGCAATAAGTACTTTGTGATTAATTGACCTATCTTCTAGCTATTAAATCTTTAAAATGAAGAAGTTTTAAAGTTTGTCTGATTGAAGGACTTTATAAATTAGCATGTGGCTGAAGAAAGGTAATCAAAAGTGCTATCCTGGGTACTTTACATTATCTTAGAAGAGAGAGCAGTATGTTAGAAAAATCCCTGAATTGGAGAACCTTAGATTAGAATCCCAAATCTCTTCCAATGTGACCATGAGCAAATCACTTCACATTTCTGTTCCTCAGTTTCCTCATGTATAAAATGGGAAAGGGGGTTGGACTAGATAGTCTCCAATATCTCACATTTTGTGATTATCTGATTCCATGGAAGACACTTTGAAGGTCCCTTTCTAGTTGATCTCTGAACTTTAATGAAAGGTTCTGACCTGTAATTGTGTGTGCTACATGAAAACTATCAAAGTCCCATTTTGGCACCCAAAGCTGGCAAGAAGAAAGGGGACATGCTTTCATGCTTTTTAAAGGACTTACTGATGGCATGTAATCACTCTACAACTCTGTTTTGTTGCAGATGTTATCATTATTGTTTTTAGCTTGTGGCATTGGACAGAATGTTAAGTGCAGTTAGTCTAAAGCAGGCCTGCACAACATATAGCCTGCAGGTAGCTTGTGGCCTGCCAAAGGATTTTGGGGGCCTGCAAAAAATGTAGGGTTGCCATGATACACTCTCCTGTTTGTCATGTGACCCATTTCAACCAAGCATGGTCAGTCTGTCTCTAGTCTAACCTGTATGCTGCCTGAACCTACTGCCAAGTTGTGCAGGTTTGGACTAAAGGCACCTGATTAAGAGTCAATATCCAGCACTAGAACCAGAGAATTTTGACGAGAAACTGACACTTATTAATCACATATTTCAAATGTTTCTCAGAAGCACGATGCCCAGTTTACAGTCATCCAGCTAGTAGGGATGCTTCGAGGTATAGCCTCTGGAATGAAGTATTTGTCAGATATGGGCTACGTTCATCGTGATCTCGCTGCCCGCAACATCCTTATCAACAGCAACCTGGTGTGCAAAGTTTCTGATTTTGGCCTTTCCAGAGTTCTAGAGGATGACCCCGAGGCTGCTTATACAACAAGAGTAAGTTGTACTATTTATTCTTTATTTTTCATCTCATGCTGATTTGTAGTAAGCCTGAGTAAGACATGGGTCAACCCAGCCAAATAAGCTTTACCAACCTCTTTTTTCTCTTCTTTAAAGAGTTTCTTAATTGTCTTAAGAATATATTGGAAAATTAATGGATTTTTTTCATAAGATTAATAGACGTTTTCTTTACAAATCTGACTGTAATCTGAAATGTAACCCCATTATAATTTACAGGCTTTCTTCTTTCCTAAAAACAAACAAATTCAGGCTTGCCGATCTGAAATTTTCACAATTATTTAGGTTGCCTTAACATATACTCTGGCTGCACAATGAAGGTTTGACAAACACTCAAAATACCAGGACACTTGGTAGAGTGTGGAAAATCAGTATATAAATTCTGTTATTATTTCAATTTCCTAAATTCTACAGTCACAATTTTTTTTTCTTCTGCATGGGCAATTGAGCAAAGGCTAATTCTTTTGGTAGACTGTCCCATTTTGATTATACAACTAAAGACCTCCTAAACTAAAACTTTAAAAATCCTAGAGCTGAGTTCAGCTTACTACCCAAACAATAATGGGAGAGGTAAGAAAATATAATTATGCAGCATTAATGGATGCATTCCTAAGAGTGTAATATACCCTATTATATGAATTTAAGTGTTGGCATTCTCATAGTAGTGTCAGTCATCACATTATTTTCATGATTTTCAGTCACATCATGAGCTAAATTTACTTTTCTTTACGTGAACCTAGATGTTAAAGAATGTAGGCTTACTTGCATATTTTTATCCTCATGCCTGCTAGCAAACTTCTTTAAGCTGAAAGAGAGAGGCATATTAATATCCAACTGCCCAATCAAATACAATATAAAACAATGATGACCAATAAATCTAGACCGTTGTGCTCCACAAAGTTGATTAGATTGGAAAGGTTTGACAAAAATCTTAACCTAAATATTGAATGTTTTCTTTTCCATGATCACTAGCAAAATCAATCAGCTACTATTTTTTTTTTCATTTTAAGTTTATTTAATAATAGCAGCTGATTTATGGGAGTCACATTGTTACTCACTAGGATCATATGTTTTTTGTACTTAATTTTAGTTTTCAACATTCACTTCCATAAGATGTTGAGTTTTAAATTTTCTCCCCCTCCCTCTTCTACCCCCTTCCAAAGATGGTGTGCAATTTGATATAGGCTTTACTTGTACATTCATATTAAATATATTTTTACATTAGCCATGATGTAAAGAAGAATTAGAACTAATGGGAGGAACCACGAGCAAGAAGAAACAAAACCAAACCACAAAAGAAAAGGAGAGCAAATAGTATGATTCCATCTGCATTCAGACTCCTAAATTCTTTCTCTGGATGTGGATAGCATTTTCCATCGTAGGTCTTTTGGAGTTGTCTTAGGTCCTTGCATTGATGAGAAGAGCTAAGTCTATCAAAGTCAGTCATTGCACAATGTGGCTGTTAGTGTGTACAATGTTCTCCTGGTTCTGCTCATTTCATTCTGTATCATTCATATAAGTCTTTCCAGGTTTTTCTGAAGTCAGCCTGTTCATCATTTCTTATAGCACAATAGTATTCCATTACAATCATATGTCACATCTTGTTTAACTGTTCCCCAATTGATGGACATCCCCTCAATTTCCAGTTCTTTGCCATCACAAAAAGAGCCACTATAAATAGTTTTGTACACGTGGGTCCTTTTCCCATTTTTATGATCTTTTGGGATATAGACCTAGAAGTGGTACTACTGGGTCAAAGGGTATACACAGTTTTATAGCCCTTTGGGCATAGTTCCAAATTACTCTCCAGAATGGTTGGATCAGTTCATAACTCCACCAACAAGGCATTAGTTTTCCACTTTTCCTACTTCTTCTCCAACATTTATTGTTGTCCTGTTTTGTCATGTTAGCCAATCTGATAGGTGTGATGTGGTACCTGAGAGTTGTTTGGATTTTCATTTCTCTAATCAATAGTGATTTAGAGCATTTTTTCATATGACTACAGATAGCTTTAATTTCTTCTGCTGAAAACTACCTGTTCATATCCTCTTACCATTTATCAGTTGGAGAACGGCTTGTATTCTTATAAATTCAACTCATTTCTCTCTATAGTTTAGAAATGAGGCCTTTATCAGAGACACTGGAGTCAGCCACTATTTTACAGCTAAGTATGATTTATTTAATAACTAAACTAACATCTGATGCCACACGATAATAAATGGAAATCTGATAGTTTTATTTTGTAGGGAGTTTTTTATTTTTATTTCACTCATATCTCATCTACTTTTTGAAGTTATTCATAACCCTTTGTCATTGGCTGAGCTACTAAAATAGTCCTTGAAAAGTACATACTCACTGTGTCTTCCTTATGATATTTTCCTTAAAAGTAAAACCTTTCAGTACAATTATTTGATTTCATGTCATTTTCTTAAAATTTTTAAACCTTGATTATCTTGAATTTTCCTTCCTTCTTGAAATCATATCCTTGCTGATTGAAGGACCTAGTGGCCCCCATGTTCATGGTTAATAAATTTCAACTCCGGGGAACATTAGGAAAGGCTATTCTCCAGGAAATCACTTTGAAATAATGATATCATTCTAGAGTCCCAGCAATACAGAAGCCACTTTGGTTTTATTTTCTAACAGAATAATTTATAGTTGTCCTGCCACTCTGTTAGAGTTTTTATGAAAGTAGATGAAGCAGATACCTAAAGTTCTTGGGCCTTAGTAAAGCAAAAGCAATAAAGTACCTTACTGTTCTTCTTGGTGTTTTTTTTAAATATTTCTTTGATTTTTGCTGAAGCAAAAATTCATCCATTTATTACTGTTGGATTTTTTTCTTTTTTGGGGGTGGGGGGATGCTCAAATACTCCACCAATCCCAAATCCTTAATTTGCATCTAGTCAATATTATCGAATGGATATTCTGAGATATTTAATATTAGTAATCCCAGGATATTCCTGGAACATTCCCACAGTCCTTATGGAAGAGCCAGTTCCTAGTTTAAGAAACAGTGGAATGTGTCTTGATATGGCATTTTTTTAAAAATAACTAAATTTATATATTTTTAAAACTACTAAAATAACGATTGTCAATGTGAACTCTTTAAAAAAACACTTCCTAAATACAAGGTGTAGCCATGAAGTAACGTTGCTTAAAGCATGCACACATACACACACACACTCACACACACACATACATGAACATAGGTACCTAACTGGTTATTGACATCTGCCCTTCATTGTAATCATCTTGACAGATCATACATTCATTCTACTGATGCTTCTATTACTCAAACAAATCCTTCTGTGTGGATTTCCTTCAAGAGTGGCTTAAGGGTCACTCAAGAAAATCATTTGCAAGATTTCATATTCACACCTCCTTGGGGAGCCTATCAAATAGCTTGGTCACGTAGTTAATTTAGTCACTAAACTTGACTACAAATTATCTTTGGCTCTTTCTAAAAAATTAAATTCTTCTTCAGTGAATGAAAACATTCCAGCATGGATAATGCCTCAAGGAATATGGAATAGGAACTCAGTTGGATGTCTGAATTCTGATTCATCAGTACTGATTTATCAATAAATCAGTTACAAGACTTTTATAGTCATACATCTAGATACTCAACTAACACTTTTCATGTGGCATCTTAAAATTGTCAGATTTATCAATTAGAATTAGGTGTGCTGTTTTAAATAAATAAAAAGCCCCTTCCTTAGAGGAAGAGATTCAGGATGAAGAAAATGAGGAAATTCAGGGTTTTTGATTAAGTTAGCATTAAGGGCATTTAAATGATATAGAGCCAAATGCAAGGAAGCTGCTGTTAAAAATCTTACGTTACCATTACATTGGAGTAAAGGTTTAAAGATTGAAATATGGTTCTTCCGAAGGTGAAATGACTTATTAGGTTTTACCCTGTGGTGTGAAGTGCGGCGAGGTGGCACTGTGGATAGAGCAATGTGTGTGGAGTCTGAAAGACTCATCTTCCTGAGTTCAAATTTGGCTTCAGAAATTTGCTGTCTGTATGACGCTGGACAAGTCACTTAGCCCCGTTTGCTTCAGTTTCCTCATCTGCAAAGTGAGCTGGAAAAGGAAATGGCAAACCACTTTAGTATCTTTGCCAAGAAAAGCCAAATGGGACCACAAAGAATTGAACACAACAGGAAAATGGCTGAACAACAACAAACTTTAGTGTAATGGTACGACATAAGTCTGGAGAAATGAATTGCCTTCATTCCTCTAGTTCAGGCCAGCACAACCTGTGGCCCATGGACCACTTACGCCCTGCAGGCACGCCAACGGGTTTTGGGTGGCCCCTCCACATTTTTTATCACTGCCAGAAATCCTTTGGTGGGTCATAGATGGTGCAGGCCTGCTCTAGTTATATTTCAAATGGCCTGTTTAGCTGAACAAAATCCATAAAAATAGTGATAGGGACTGTTTGGTGTTTTCTCTTTTCTCCTTTTTTTAAATTAGGAATTTTTGTTTTTTACATACATTCCAGCATATTTTCTCCAACTGTAGGCTACTGACTTCATAGTTCTCATACCTTAGGTAAGGGACTAGACCTCTGATTTCATTGAGAAACCTTAAGAAACTATAATAATTGAAGCATTTAAGCATGTTGCTTCAAAATATTTATTTAGCATCTATAGGCAACATGCTATATAGTTGGTACTTTTTAATTATATATTATTTGTGAGGGAATAAAACTGCCACTATCCAAAGCACTTAATATATAACCAGCATTAGCATTTAATGGATCTACTTCAGTAGACAGATGATAGAGATTAGAACAGTGATTTAATTGGTTTAGGAAACTTTCAGGTGGTAGAACTCCCTTTATCAATGTGGGTAAGCACCATCTGCAAACTATAGAACTAGAGTTTCCTAGGGAACTGAGAGGTTAATTGACTTGCCTGGGGTCACACAGCCAATAGCTATGAGAGGTAGTACTTAAAACCAAGTTTTCCTGGCTT